TTTTTTTGGAGGGGGAGGGAGTAACCTGATAAATCAGCTAGAAGAGCACGAGCAGGACCCTGAAATACAGTCACAAGAAAACTTCTTTTACTCATACAAAGATTTCTCACACAGAAGAAAAAGAAAAATATAAGTTCCTAGTCCTTTTAGTTTTTAGGTATTACCTGCACCGTATTGTTTGCAAGATCAAGCATCCAGAAGCCTATGACAAAGACWATAGCCGCTCTTGTTCGCGTACCTTTAAATACTCTGTATGAGCATGACTGATCAAGTTAGAATTTCATGTTTGTTCACAACAAGRGATACAAAATAGAGCCAAGAAAGATAATAAAAAAAATTATTAATATGCTCCAACAAAACCTGCAATGTTCCTTCGTATCTCCTAGAAAATATCCAATGTCAGCAGAATATCCAATCAGCACCACCTGTTTAAAAATAATAAATAACAATTTGGTTTCTAATGCTTTAGCANTATCTCCTAGAAAATATCCAATGTCAGCAGAATATCCAATCAGCACCACCTGTTTAAAAATAATAAATAACAATTTGGTTTCTAATGCTTTAGCAATAATTGTTAATCAAAAAGAAAACAAACAAGTACCCAGAAAAACACAGCTTACAGCAACTGCTATCATTAAAGAACCAGCAAGAATAAAGGGACGCCTCCTTCCATATTTTGAAGAACACTTGTCACTCCATATACCGACACATGGTTGAACCTAAGAACCAAATATTAAATAACATGAGAAAGTTACCACATAAATCAACAAAAATAAATATTTCTGTTGCTCCGATAAATGGAATTGCAACCAAAGTACAAAAGTTTTTTGAATGTTCAAAATTTGTCAGCCTCTTGTTCAAGTCCCAGGAAAGAGCTTGAAATACTCAATCTCCATGTTGGATAACTAAGGGCATGTACAAGTCACAAATATATTTGAAAAAAAAAAAAAGAGAACTTAATAGTAAAAGAAACATGCAACAAAAATATTACACGCCTTGTCAGACATCTTCTTCCTACCATGCAAACTAACTGGGCACTATTAACTTGCTTGCTTTAAAGAGTGCATGCTAGACACAAGCCAGGCAATGGACTACGAAATGATCATCATGTCCTAATTCTCTTTGCCTCAAAGAGTAAATAAAAAGGATACAAATAAGAACCATATGGCAACAGACATTAATAGTGTACTACAGAGAAAAGCGACCAATCCAGCATGTCATGATCATGAATGGAATGTATATTTGTATATTTTACACATATATTTCATTGGATCCATGTACATTTGACCAACTTATATGCATCTCAATTTATCCCCGGGAGACAATCACCTAGCCCTACAAATAGCAAAAAACTCATAAAATATTTAGTAAACCAGGTAAGTGACCAAGGCATGAACTCAAACCTTCAAACCCATAGGAATTTACAACACTATCTTTTTGTATGCCTTTTGTTTTCTTTAATTCTCCTAAACTTACGTTTCAAAAAAATTTGTGGAGAATGAAAGAAAACAAAAGAGCATACAAAAAGACAA